TGTGAAGATGGCGCTGTGCTGCAGGTACCTCGAAGACGAAGCTGGAGCAACGGCGCTGCAGGTAAGTATCCCTGGCCTCCGCCCAATCTCTCTCTATCTACTGCCACTCTAGCTATGGCGCCCAGAGCTGAAGACTACTACTAACGCTTCCAGCGCTGAAGACTAAGGCTAACGTTACTACTACTACTACTGCAGCGCTCCTCCAGAGTGCTGCTGCCGGATCCTGAAGACTACTGCCTCCTGCCTGCCCGTGAAGTGCATGGGAAATCCCTATGTACTTCCTCGGCCTGCCTCCTGACTGCCTCCGACTACCTGCAGTTGCAGGGCGGGCAGTCCAGGAGGCTGCTCTTGCCAATGCCCAACCGAGCCAGGGGCTGGCGCTGCAGCTGTCGTGGAAACAGGCCAAAAATAGCCTGTTCCTAAAACCCTGGTTCGGTGTCGGAGTTTCAGGGCAGGTCGGTTTGATGACAGACCGAAAATGGTCCTTCGTTTCAGGCTAAAAAGGTTACTGCCATTTTTAGTCTGAAACGACACAGGGTCTGTAGGCCCTTGTTTTTCAAGCTTTCGAGCTGAACAGGCACGGGGCCTGTAGGCCCTGGTTTTCAGGCTTTCAGCCTGAGGGACATAGGGCCTGGAAAATGACCCTCGTGTGCAGGCGCAGCATGTAACACCCCCCCCTCCTTATGAAGTCAAGCCGGGGCGAGGGCGAAGTTGACGATCTGAAGGCGGAACCTGGACGCGGGCGCGGCGTGGAGCCGAAGAGACCGGCTTGCCTCGCATCTTGCGTTTGTAACGTGCGAGAACGTTTGGAGTTGTTGCTTGAAGTTCCGCACGGGCCAACCAACGGTCAGCTCGGTGTGTGTAGTATGCAAAATGTACCAAGTACTCGGTTGGCCTGTTGTCGTAGCGTTGCTGGGACGTTGGTGAGGCCAAAAGGCATGACCACCCACTCAAAATGCCTGTACCTCGTCTTGAACACGGATTTGTAGCGATCGTTCGACCGGATTGAGATTTGATGATATCTCGACTTCAAATCCAACTTAGAAAAATACTTTGAGCCGCCCAATCGCTCAAGAAGATTGTCGGTGCGAGGAAGAGGCCCCGCATTCTTGACGGTTTGCGCGTTGAGCTTGTGGTAGTCAATGCATAAACGTAGATCCTTGTTCTTCTTCCGCACGAAGAGAACTGGTGCTCCATATGAAGAGCTACTAGGGCGGATCCAGCCCTTAGCCAACAAGTCGTCGAGTTGTGTGTGGAGGACCTCAAGCTCCTCCTTGCTCATCCAATAGATGCAACCTTTCGGCGGCATGGCACCGGCCTCAAGAATGATCTCGTGAGAGATCGGCCGATCCGGCACCACACCGGTAGGTGACTTTAAGATGTCGGGGAACTCGTCCAGCAACCGCACCACCCGGGGGTCCGAAGACAAGTCCGTAGGTGAAGAGTCGGCTGCCGCGACGGTCCGTAGGAAACATAGGCCGATTTCCTCAGGCTGCTCGTAAGCGCAAATCGCCCAGAATGATTTGGCCCTCACCACTTGGCACCGAATCGAAGGGTGCGGGGGAGGAATAGTACACGCCACTTCGGCACCGAAGGCGTCGCGAACACTAAGAGTCCGCCGGTGGAAGTTGACCGTATGATCCGCACTTGCAAGCCAACGCATTCCCAGAATGATGTTGAAGTCCGTATCCAAAATGTCGAACGTCACCGGTTCGCATGCATGAGGTGCCAAATACACCGGTACGACTTCGATGTAACGGTCAAGAAGTTTTGCGTCTTTCCATCCGCCAACTTGATCGCCTTCGGGTTTGCCTTCCTCCGAACTTGTGCGCCAAGGCCAGCCCTTTGCATAAAGACCTGGCTCATGAAATTGCGAGGCGCGCCGCTATCCAGCAAAGCGCTGCAGGACGCTTGCCCAACTTGGATGCGGACATACATGAGCGGTGCGTTGTTGTCATTGTACTGCAGCGTGCGAAACTCGCGGGCCACCTTGGTAACATACGCAAGGATGTCCGCCACCGTGACTTCGTCATCCGTCGGCGAAGTTCGTGGTGCATAGAAGGATGGGTACATGTGGAGATGAGCGCATAGTGCTGCACCTTGCGGTCTCGACAAGCGGCCCGTGGTCGGGAGAGGAAGCCATGCAAAGTCCTCAGGCGTGAGCGGGTCCAATACCTTTATGTTGAACTCGCGCGCCGAATCCCATGAGAACCACTTGAAGATGATAAGTCGCCGCTGCCGGACGGAGAAGATGCCGCACACACGTCTTGTCCTTGAGCTTGAGTACCCAGCGTAGGAACGAGCCGGGCAGCATAGTCCTCATAAGAATATAGAAGAGGAGGACTATCGACTTCCGTATGTGCCTCGAAACGAAGGGCGGTCACCCGCGAAGCGACCGGTTCCGAAGGCGTCGAGAGTGTCGTCGAGTCACTCCCGACGGTGCTCAGTTTTCCGATTTGCCCTTGCCTTTTGACGGGCAGGCCAGCGTCTCATGGAGATCGTTGTTGCACCATAGGCAATAGTGAAATATTGTGCGCGCTTTGAATGCTTGCTCGGAGATACCGTATTGGGACCATGGGGCTGGAGCTGCTACGCCGGGCCCAGGGCTAGATGCGGTGTTTGTCTTCGCCTTGCCGCGTCCTCGGCCTTTGCCGGGGCGGCCACCTTCCCGGGCAGCTGCAAGTCTATCCCCTTCATTGGCAGACACGGCCTCACTAGTTTGGTCAAACGGCGTTGCCGCCGCGACCACGGCCACTCTTGGCCGATGCTGGTCTCTGCCTGGGTCTGCCACAGACGAACGCAGGTTCTTAGCCTCCTTGTTCGTGATAATGATCTACGCGGCCTTGTCAAAGAGTTTCGTCGTTGTCGTCAAGGTGTCCTCGACGTGAGTCAGGGCATTGCTTGATGCCGGACACGACCTTGAGATGAAATAGTGGCGGATGGCTTTGAAACCCAACTGGATTTTTGGGACGGATGTCAAGCAATGGTACTCAGCAATCCAGTCGACACTCGGCAGCGTGCCTTGCTCGAAGACCATTAGCTGCTCTACTTGGAACCGCTTATGCCACGCCGCCTTCAGATCGTCCCAGCTGATCTTGGTGTGCAAGTCGCTAGCTACTACTCCGTACTTGGACAAGAGATTGTCCAACCATGCCTGGCACGCGCCCCCCAACCAGGAGTATAAGTACGCGTGGTGCTTGTGTTCTTTGACGTAGTGCCGCTGCAGTGTGAGCTCGAACTTGCAGAACCATGGAATCGGATTTGTCTTCGTCGAGTCGTAGAAGATCTCCTGCCCGTCAAACTTTGGAGCTGTCTCGCGTGGTTCCGAACTCGAGTTGTTGGCGGCAGTACCGATCCGCTGCTCCAACTGTTGCGTTGCGGTCTGCTGTAACTGCACGCCGTCCTTGAGGGAGCCGACGTCCATCTCCAATGCTTCGAGGCGATCGAAGGTGTTGGAAGAGGTTGCATCGGGGGCGGCGACAGGTCGCTGCTCCAACTGCTGGAGGCGGCCGTGGACTTGAGTCAGCGCGTCATCGAGGCTATGGATGTCCTCCTGCTGTGTAATGCATGTTGCCACGAGGTCCGTGAGATGGGAGAGGAGTAGAGCGATCTTGTTTTCGCTATCCTCCATCTTGCCATTCTCGGCCTCGGCCTGCCAATCCGCTGCCATTGTGAGCAAAGTCTGCTCTCCGCTAAATATCTTCTCACGACGTTGAATTCGTTCTTCATCGGCAGCCTTTGCTGCTGCCTCGTCATGCTGGCATTGTTGTTCAATTGCCAGCAGACATGCCTGCTCGGCGTCCTCTGCCCTCTTCTTCGCTGTTGTTGCTGCGTCATCTGCCTGTCTCTTGGTTTCGGTACTCCAGGCCAGCATCCGGGCCTGATAGGCCTCGTCTGTTTCCCCGAACCTCTGGTCCATAATGGCTGTTTGTGAACACAACAGCATAGACCAGGCCGGGGGCCTGCTGACGTGGTATTCCCTGCTGCTGACGTGGCACTGCTGTCGGCTGACGTGGCCTGCTGACGTGGCCTGCTGACATGGCCTGCTGACGTAGTCTGCTGACGTGGCCTGCTGATGTAGTCTGCTGACGTGGCCTGCTGACGTGTGCTGGTTTTCAGCAGGCCACATCAGCAGGCCACGTTCATTGATTGCTCAGGTAGTCTGCTGATGGGGCTAACTAGTGTGCTCTAATCAATCAATGAAGACTAATCAGCTACCTAGTCCCCGCACGCATGTCAAATCAGGTTGTCCTGATTTACGTGCGGTGTTCCGATACCAACTGTTACATGCTCAGTTGGGCGATGTACATAATAACTGAGGATCCGCAATGTGATAAAAAGGACTGAATGGACAATGCAGTGCGAGTAGAATCTCGACAAGCAATGTGCATTCCGATACATACAAAATGGTGCTTTTATAGCGCAGGGAAGACTTAGATACAAATCCTGACCTGACCGG